AGGTTTTTGCTATAGGGCACGTGTGCTTGCCAGACAGACAGAGAGAGACAGAGAGACAGAAAGTGAGAAATCATCCCCCAGGGGGAAGTGGCCATACCGCAATCCCTTCTCCATTCTCCTCTCGGGATCTTGGGCACGCACGCACACGCGCCTGGCGTGAGTTTAAGCCATGCGGTCCAGGACTCGGCCCACTACGTGGGAGTCCAGCGACATAGCCATTACGCTAACTGCTGGTCCCTGTGTACAAAATCTTGACAGGATAGAGAAATAAGGGAAAAAGGAGCCTCAGAAAGCAAATTCAAGCCACTTGGGGACGATGAATCTGAAGACAGCAAACACTATTGGGCATAGCCACGCCCCACTAGGGAAGTGCTTTCTCCCTGTCTTTCTGGGTAGTTCATGTGCCCTCCAGCAACATAAAAGAAAATCAAACCAATATCCCAAGACACAAAAACACATAAACATCGTCCTGCACGTATGAGCGGGCCAGATAAACAGCAGGGAAGTCCTCCACACACTACTTTGATGGGCTTTTGCTGGAGAAGGGGAGGGACAGAGATGTGCCAATCTACTCCGAGAAGTTTGAGAGGGCTGGAACTGCGGAAGCTCAGACAGGCGTCTGAGCTGCTGATGCTTTGTACTGACGCTCTTGAGTTTTTCATACCTGCCTTGTCTGGACATCTTGTCTGGGAGCTCCTCTAAGGTCAAGTGTGCTCTGTCATGTCCCAGCTAATAAGTACTGCATTGATCAAACTGAGTGTGACTGAAACTGCAGTGTGATACAGACCATGCTTGGCTTTGGTCACCCAAATCATAGCTTATCCCCTTCTCCTTCTCCTCTGTGCCGCAGCCCCAAACCCTGCTAAAACTCTAACTCCTGGAAACGTCATCCTTCCCGAACACATCGACCCTAATATTGAAATCTAGGCTCGCACTTACTGTTTTGTACATTTTATACTGCAGGTTAGATTTGGGGCTGAAGACTTTGTCAGTCCCTGAAGACCCCAAAGGCTTTGTGATCTGGGTCAGCAGGAGGAAGTCATTGAAAAGGAAACCGTACAGCTCCTTGTTGCTCTTGGCCTTGTAGAGCTTCCCACTGTGCAGAAACTTGCGTGGCCCCAAGCAATTGGTCACCGAGTTGAATACAAGTTGCTGAGAAGGGAAACAAAACCCAAAGAAGTCACGATGAAGGAAGGTCAGTTTTTGTTTTTGTTTTTCTACATCTGAATGTGTGGGCTCCATCAGAATCTGAGGCTGGGCCCCAGCAGGCCTGTTTCATAGGCACAAATCACAGACGGCTGTGAAGACTTTAGCCACTGCCTTTAGGAGCCTGGGAGAGAGTGAAGTCATGCCACTGGGGGACAATCAATCCAGAGAAAGCAAGCACCAGTGGGTCCAATGGCATAAAGGTGACACCATCATTTGTATTCAAAGTTTATAGCTCCCAGCTGGCCTGGCTAATACCAACAGCCCCCAGTTGGCTGGCTAACACCCAGCATACATGAATTGGTATTGGTATTTAAATCTGGTTATCTTCAGATAATAATGCTAAAGACAACATTTACCATGTCCAGATCCAGGCCACACGTGGTCCATACTGTGACTGAAAGTCAGGATCAACGTGTTCCCTCCCTATGACTGTGCACACCATAAAGACAAAACAAAGCTGGTACACAATAGCGACGAGGAGTCAATCAATAAACAAAGGTGTTAATCTGATTCCAAAGAGGGTATTTAAGCCACACAAACCAAATGACAAGAACTTATTTCAGTCTTACATCTCCAGATCGAGACCCTCTGAAGCTTTCAGCATCGTGGCAGGGCTCCTTTCTACAGTGCGCGTTGCCATGTCAGCATTTCTGCCCACTAGATGCAGGAGCTGTTCTGGTCCGTTGTGTTCAGCATCAAGTTAACGCTCCTTGGAATGACACACAGGCCTTTCTTGGCCTGGCCCATAGTCTCAGGGCTGATCATCCCTCTACATTCCTCATAGTGTCCTACTCGAGGTGTGCCCTCCACTCACGATGCTCTGGCCTCAGCTTCTGAACCAGAGAGATATCTCCATCCTTCAGTGCCAGCTTTTCCAATGCTTCCCGAATACCCTGCACACCTGCTCCTTCCTCCTCATCATGTGCTCCCACAGCACCTTACACCTGGTCCTGCCTCATCATTTCCCACATTTTGTTGTAAATATTGGTTTAACCCCCAGCTTCTTCCAGGACTGTAAACTCCTTGAGAGTAGGGAATTACATCTTATTCATTTTTATGTCATTGGGGTTTTAGTACCAAACAACAGAACATGGCAGATACTCAATAAATGTTTCTTGAATGAGTAAGTGAGTAAGTTAGTGAGCTGAGCAACCAGAGAATGCCCCTTGATGCACAGCAACACCAAATTCAAATATACGAGCCCATAGCCAGCACTCTGGTTTCTACAGGGCTGCTTCCACAACTCTGCTTACCCCATACCTACACTGATGGTAGATGGGAGGTGGGGCTGGGGAAGAACCATCAGTAGTAACTTCAGGCAGTCACTACCTTTGCAGGGAGAAACCACAGGGAGAATAGATGAGGGAGACACATTCTCCCTGGGCATTGTGGGAAGCCCTAGTAAATGTGTGTGTGTGTGTGTGTGTGTGTGTGTGTGCGCGCATGAGTGTATGCATACACATATATATAGGTGGGGATACCCTTGATGCACAGCAACACCAAATTCAAATATACGAGCCCATAGCCAGCACTCTGGTTTCTACAGGGCTGCTTCCACAACTCTGCTTACCCCATACCTACACTGATGGTAGATGGGAGGTGGGGCTGGGGAAGAACCATCAGTAGTAACTTCAGGCAGTCACTGCCTTTGCAGGGAGAAACCACAGGGAGAATAGATGAGGGAGACACATTCTCCCTGGGCATTGTGGGAAGCCCTAGTAAATGTGTGTGTGTGTGTGTGTGTGTGTGTGTGCATGAGTGTATGCATACCCATATATATAGATGTGGGTAGGAAAAACACGCAGAAATAATAAATGAGACTAAAGATAAGGCTAAGTGATAAAGAGAAAATTAGAGACTAAAGGAAGACTGTTTCTGAAGAATGGTAGACTAGATGCTCTGAATAACTCACTTAACAAAAACTAAATAAAATAAAATAAAATAAAACCAAAAAACCTGAGTAAAATAATTTTTTAAAATGCAAGCAGGATCGCAAAAAACAAACAAACAAACAAATAAACAAACAAAAAAACCCTCTAACAAAGCAAAACAAAAATCACCAAACCAAACCAAACAAACAAAAATAAATAAAAACAAAAAACAAAATAAAGTTGCAATGGCCAAAACCACAATTAAAATGGACACTTTGGAAGATAATCAGGTGCCGAAGCCAGCTTTAGCCCTGACAGTCTCTCTTGAATCTGGTGACATTGAACTTCCATTTTAATGGCTATACAGAACGCTGAGACAGGTGTTCTATCCTGGGCTGAGGTGAGGGATCTAACAGGAGATCTACAGGAAGCTGGACCCAGAAAATGAATGACAAGTAAACTCAAGCACAGAAGAAATGAGCAAGAAAACTTTTCTGTTTATGATCTTTTTGTAAGTGGGAGAAAATACACGCCTGAGAATTTATGACTGCCGGGCAACTCTCACACAAGTTTACAACTACAGTTCACACAACTAGTGTGATCCTCCAGACCCCTCTAAATTTAGCAATCCTCTCAGCAGGATAAATGCAATGGCAGACAACAAAGAAGCCCACATGTAAATCCAAGAAACATTGAGTTCACAGTCGAAAATCACAATATATACAGAGAAATAAGCATGTTTAGAAAGAGCTAACAGAAACAACAGGCAAAAAAAAAAATAAGACCCATAACTTTAGATATTGGGGTTATCAGATTTGAGATATACAGAAAAATGTTTCAAGTATTTTAAGAAACGCGAGAGGATTTCAAAAAGTTTGCTGAAACATCAAATAAAAGCATGAATTTATTTTGGCACAAAACTTTTTGAAATCCATGCATAGCTTTTTTTGTAATATGCAACTTCTGTGAACTTTTAAAAGCACTTGTAAATCAGAAGCATTAACATTTTTTATTTTGAGAAGTTTTTGCTATAGGGCTCGTGAGCTCGCCAGACAGACAGAGAGACATAGAGAAAGAAAGCGAGAAATCATCCCCCAGGGGGGATGGTCACGCCGCAATCCCTTCTCCTCCATTCTCCTCTCGGGATCTTGGGCACACACGCACGCACATGCGCCTGGCGTGAGTTGTAAGCCACCGGGTCCAAGACTCGAACCGTGGTCAACTACATGGGAGTCCAGCGACATAGCCATTACGCTAACTGCTGGTTCCCAGAAGCATTAACATTTGAGCAGGGAATAAAACACAGGAAAGAAATCGGCAGAGTGGAGAAAATAAGTAGAACTACTGGCAATGGGAAATAATATAATTAACTATAAATCTCAGGGATGGATTAGACAGCTGATGAGGTGCACTGAAGAGAAATTAGGAAGCCAAAGACTAGAGAGTGGGATGGTTCATGGTTTTTCTTGTCCTCTTTCAGGCTGGCTGCCAAAGCTCAGCCAGGGAAAGCCCAGGCCCCGTCCCAAAGGCGCTACCTCAGAAAGGCCTTCACACTGCACATGGGCCTGGATCCACTCCAGCCGGTCAGAGTTTTCCTTCTCACGCACCCCCTCGTTCACCTGGGAACACAGCTCTTCCGCCTTCTCCAGGGCATGCTTCAGGTGGCTGTGGTCAGGGTGGTTTTCAGGAGTGTTTTCCAGGATCTGCATAGGAGAACAGAAAGCAACCACACTTCCTGGTCAGGCCACTATTTTAGACAATGTGGGCAGGCCTGGGGTCTGGTGTCCTGGAAGACTGGACTGAACAGAGGAAGGCGCAGTCTTTTCCTGAGTGGCGCTCACTTGAGCAGACATAGCTCTGAGCACCCACATGCCAGTGGCACACAGAGTTACAGTTGTTCCCTGTTGGCTCTAGTGGTTGGCCTTGCAGAGAGCCTCTCCTACTCATGGACCAGTGGAAGCTGGGCCTCTGCCAGAAAGCAATAATGGCCCTGTCCTTAAGGCGTCAGCCCTGCCACCTACCATCCTGAATGTTCCCACAGCCAGTCATGTGACCTGTCCTGCAAAATGTTAACATCCCAGTATGAGCACTAAACCACACACAAACTCGCAGGATCATGGATGGTATGCATAACTCTGGAGTCAAAAGAAGTTCGAGCATTTCTATCTGAAAATCTTTATCTTGTTTCACAAAGAAAGAAACTAGACTCAGATACCAGGGGCCTCCAGTCTCAGACTCCCAGTCCCAGCCCCCAGCCCCAGCCCTCAGCCCCAGTCCCATGCCCTACTCTCACCGGCTTGCTCAACTGAGGGAACCCAGGATGGAATTTCCATGCTTGATCTGAACACTGTCCATTAACCCACCATAAGGGCCTAAGAGCTGGCAGGAATACCACATTACTTATGCTCAGCGTGCAGCACGGGATGTGAAAAGAGTTACAGCCACAGCCAGGCCGTAGGCCCAGGTATCCTCTGGAGAATGGCTCTTTCCTGGGTATATGCACAGCTGCAGGCGTCTGTGCACCTTTGGAACCACATGCAGATGGGTATATCAAGTGAACATGCGTTTTAACCCAGTGCTAGAACTCCTGGGGTTAAAATTGCTCCTCGAGGGGCCAGTCGATGGCACAGCAGTACAATGAGGTGTTCTACAAGGCTGACCCACACGGGAAGTTTCCCAGTTTGAGTCTGAAGACCTCCCTGAGTACACTGGGTACATGTGTGTCCATGATCTGGGCTTGGAGGCTGGGGGTGAAATGTGGTATCAAGACTCTGCCGAGGGTGCTCTCTCTCTCTCTCTCTCTTTCTCTCTCTCTCTCTCTCTTTCTCTCTCTCTCTCTCTCTTTCTCTCTCTCTCTCTCTCT